CATGAGCTAGTGTGATTAAGGAACAGGATTTTTTACTGTATTTAATTTAAATTGATTAAAAATTAAATAGCCATATATGACTAGTGGCTACTGTATTAGATGGCTCAAATCTACTCATCTTTTCAGGAGGAAAACATGGGCACGGCTATATAGCAGTGAGGCTGGTTTCTTTATGTGTTTTGCCAATACGCTTTGAAGGTAGCTCCAAATAATACGTTTCTATTATATTTTAACTGCTGAATTATAGATATGTAGAAATGTAGAAATATAGATTTCTAAAGACAACGATTAATTTCCAACTTAATTCCTAACTCTCAATAAATGGGAATTAAGAAAGCTGTGAATAATACAATACACACTAAAAATAAAAAGCAACAATAAACTAGTCAAGTATGGTACAAAATGAATTGAATATAAATAAACTTTATTAATTACTCATATCATCCAATATACCGATTCCTGGTCAGGGCACATGCCTTGGTTGCGGGCTTGATCCCCACTGGGGCGGGGGTGGGGGCTGGGGGAGCAGGCATGCGGGAGGCAGCCGATCAATGATTCTCTCTCATCATTGATGTTTCTATCTCTCTCCCTCTCCCTTCCTCTCTGAAATAAATAAAAAAATACATTAAAAAATATAGTTGATTTCACATTGGCAATGTACCTGGAGGTAAAATTACTGCTGTATACGTTTCTCAAAACATAGCTAACATCTATATAGACTAGCCAAACAGTGCCATAGAATTTGACTCAGTAGTCCCAATTAAAGACTTAAAGTGAGAAATGAAAGTATTTAATTAGAAATCTTGGTTACATGTCCTAAAGTTTCTTTTATTCATATAAAATTATGAATACATGCATTTTATACATTTAAAGTTTTAAAAATTATATTAAGAACTCATCTTTTAGTTCAAAGGTAACAACGTTAAGAGTGTTTTGTATATTTCTTCCACAAATATTGATACATATAAATGCAAAGGTGTGTTTGTGTATTCTTAAAGGCCCAAAGGATACTGGCTGAGAGTAATAAGATGGAGTTTCAAACTTGGTTAATTATTAACTGGCTGGCTGCTCTTGGGTAAGTCACTTATTTTCTTTGTGCCTCACTTTCCACTACGAAAAGTAGTTTTTTACCAAGAGATCTTTAAATATTGTCACAGTTTTAAAAACGTCTGACTGTAATATATTTCTAATAGAAATAATGCCTTAATCCCTCTCCCAAACCCTTGCCCCCACCCCAATCAGCAGTCTTTAGCTTCTTGATAACTCTGATTTTAATGCTGGCCCCCACAGCAAACATACTGCTTCTAAAGCTGCATTCTCTGGATTAATGAGAAACCAGGAGATGTTTTCCCATCTGGTCTTCGGATTCAGTAGCCAAATGACCAAGTACACATAACATTGCTTGGATAATGTTTCCAAGCTGAAGCAATTTAGCTATGACATTAAAATTAAATAAACAAGAACTCAGAATTTAAAGCCTTATAACATATATTTTTAAATACAGGAACACTTTTTAAAAGTGCAGTAGTTTGACATAGAGCAAGGTGACCTTGATCCTGTAGACTTCACCAATAGATACAATTATAGTGAGGTCAAACAGTAAAAGGAAATACCTACACATCATTTGGATTCTGGTTTTAGTGGAAGGGAAACAAAATATCTGATTATTTTCTACATCTAAAAATAAACCTTAAAACATGAAGAGAACAAAATTTTACATCAATTTATTTGTATGATAATTGTCATATATTGAAAAGTAATTATAAACCTTGGAGACGAAAATAGACTAACTTGAAAAATGCACAACTATTTTATGTCGGAATTTTTTTTTTACTGCAAAACATGAAATTGTTTCAAAGCTGAATGCTTAATTTATACACGGTGACAGGACATAAAAATTAATAAGCAAAATAATGAGTCACTATCTTGAACAAAAACATTTTTTGCATAGATGCATTACTCATAGTAAATTAGAAATAGAAATTAGCAAAAACCTATATATTATCCTCATAAATTATAATTATTCACATCTAATAGCTCAGTAAATGACATGTGGGATTTAAAACAGCGTGATGGTCACTGCCGTACTCTGCCATGCCTTGCCATGGGGAAGCTGCTCCTGCCACAGAACACAGTTCAGGATATGTGTGCCGTGGAAAGCACAGCCCATTGCGGACTGTGAGGCTTACTGTAGATTCACTCAGGGAGTCAGCAAGTGCTACAGCAATGACCCACAGAAGCTGTTAAGGACGTAAGTCATCCCTTCGGAGGGGGAACATTGGTAAAGGTACAGGAAGGTAAGCTCCATGAGAACGGAAACCAGGGAAGGATGCTATGGTAGGAGGGCTGCCTGTACATGGGAGTACTGTATAGTGGAGCAGATACTCCAGAATCAAACTCAGGGACGGTGGGAGTTGTGGGGAAACGGGATGCACCATGCAGAGAGAGCTGTCAGATAGCCAAGGTGGGTGCAAGGATTCCAAATAAACTGGTTTGACTACATGAGAATAATATACGGGTTACTGTGCTAAAGGTACCTTCAGAGCGAGACAACGCATGGTCCTATCCAGTTTTGAAGGGATCTTAATCATGAAGGAAGTGGATTTCAGCAAATCTATTTTGATATCCAAATCAATTCAAATATTTTACATTCATTAATGCTTAGTTCTCATCTCCTCCCAAAAGCTTTCCTAATGATATGCCATTGAACTCTTCTTTTAAAACTCCTATAGGATTTACTATCGCTAATGAACATATTTTTTAAACCATACCATCTATATATATAAAAAAGCCCAGCGACCAAACAGCAGAACAACCAGAACAACCAGTTGACCAGTCGCTAAGACACGCGTCACTCCACTAACTGGGATGAGTAGCTGGCTCCTGCAGCAGGAGCAACTGCTCAGCGGGCGGTTCCACAGCCGCCTGGCTGACCAGGATGAGCGGTGCTCCCACAGCAGGCCAATTCACCACAGGCCACGCCCCCACCACTGCACGAATCTGTGCACCGGGCCTCTAGTTATATGATAATATAATGAAGACTGAACTGAGTGGCTTGGGACCAAGAGACAATCTTCCCCCCTCCCACAGGTTAGGAAGGCGCCCAGGTCAGGGCATCAGGCAGCAGGCTAGGGGGAGGCATACCCTTGTAAGCCTCCCTTCATGATCTCTGGTGGGGTGCCACCAAGCTAGAATGTGAGCGGCTAACTAACCGGCCGAGGATCTGCACCACCCCCCCCCCAATAAAGGTCGGCCTGGATTTGCATTCCCAAAACCTGCTGGCACTACCAGCCAAGCACAGAACCTAAGGGGGAGGAATTGCAAATCAGAACTGGGACAACTGGAGCCACCCTCTTGGAGGTCCCCATCAGGGCCTCTGCCAGTGAGCTGCAGAGATTGAAAGGGGAGACAAGCTAGGCCAGGGGTGGGCAAACTTTTTGACTCGAGGGCCACAATGGGTTCTTAAACTGGACCGGAGGGCCGGAACAAAAGCATGGATGGAGTGTTTGTGTGAACTAATATAAATTCAAAGTAAACATCATTACATAAAAGGGTACGGTCTTTTTTTTTTTTTAGTTTTATTCATTTCAAATGGGCCGGATCCGGCCCCCGGGCCGTAGTTTGCCCACGGCTGAGCTAGGCTCTCTTCCCTCCCAGAGCCGGCACACCCTAAGTGGAGAGGGCAGCCTTGATCTATTCCTCTAAACCCCACCTGCACCTTCCTGCAGGTGCAGCCTCACAGGGTAAAGGGGTCACAACACAGAACTCTGAAATCTGTTGCTTCTCCCTTGGAGCCTCCCTTCGGGAGGACCTAGAAGGTGTGGAGCTAGGAGAGCAACTACCTCCCCTCTTAAGGGCTAAGGACCCACGCCACCCCAATCAAAGGGCAGATTGGATTTGCATTCCCAGGTTCTGCTGGACCCACCCTGCTAATCTCATGTCCACTGGGGGGAGGGGGTGCAACAGTGAACCTGACTTACTCGGAGCACCCCATCTGGGCCTCTAGCAGTGCACTGCAGAAAAAGGAGGTGAGCAGCTCTCTCTCCCTTCCCAAGGGCAAGAACCACCCCAAGAGGAGGGGCAGGCTTGTTCTCTTCCGCCTAGCTCCACAGACACATCCCTGCTGGTGTGGCCTCATGGGAAAAAAGGGGCACAACTCAGAACTGGGTCATCTGAAGCAACCCCCTCAGAGCCTCCCCTCAGGGTCACTGATAGGGCACCAATGAGGTAAAAGGCGAGCAGCTCGCTCCCCTCTCAAGGTCTGATGGCCTGTGTCACCCTCATCAGAATTGGGTTTGGACTCCTATTTCCAACTGGCTCCATCGTGCTAAGCTCATTTCTGTTGGGTGAAAGTCAATCCCACCCACAAACAGGACAACAAAAATCAGTTCCCAAGTACAACAGGAGGGTCATATAACCCACAGAAGGGACATTCTTAGAGCATCCATCTCAGGAGATGACGGAGGCTTTACCACTGTGTTCCACAGGGCACTTACGACTTAAGGCCACCCCACAAAGACTGGAAGGAGTCATAGCAGTCCTATCTAACACACAGAAACAAATACAAAGAGAGAGCTAAAATGGGACAACAAAGAAACAATCCCCAAATAAAAGTAAAATCTCCAGAAAAAGAACTAAATGAAATGGGAGCAAGCAATTATCAGAGTTCAAAATAATGGTTATAAGGATGCTCAGATAACAATGGAACAGAACAGAGACCCCAGAACTCAACCCACACCATTATGGTCAATTAATATTTGACTAAGGAGGCAAGAGCTTATATAGGAGTAAAGACAGTCTCTTCAATAAATGGTGCTGGGAAAATTGGACAGACATATGCCAAAAAAAATGAAACTAGACCACTAACTTACACCAGACACAAGAATAAACTCAAAATGGACAAAAGACTTAAATGTAAGTTGTAAAACTATAAAAATTCTAGAAGAAAACATAGGCAGTAAAATCACAAACATCTCACATAGTAGAATTTTTGCCAATACATCTCCTTTGGCCAGAGAAACAAAGAAAAAAATAAATAAATGGGACCGCATCAGACTAAAAAAGCTTCTGTACAGCAAAAGAAACCATCCTCAAAAGGGAACCCTTGAGTATGGGAGAACATACTTGCCAATGAGACATCCAATAAAGGGTTATTTCTAAAATATACAAAGAACTCATACAACTCAACAAGAGAAGGACAAATAATTCAATTAAAAAGTATGCAAAGTGAATAGACACTTCTCCAAAGAGGACATACACATGGCCATCTCCCCCAACAAGGGATCCTTTGCGGAAGTAAGGTTGGCTTGGCAACTTTGACCAGCACAGACATGGCTGTGAAAATTGTGAATTTGAAGGACTCCTTTGAAGGTTTTCAAGAAGTACATTGAGTTAAGTGTTTAAGTTGCCCAAACATCACAAAGTTATATGAAGTCATTACCACCGAGGACAAAGTGTATTTGCTCATGGAACACGCAATCAGAGGACACTTATTAGACTTCTTACAGCCCATGACCAAGGAGGAGGCCGGAGCCATGTTCCTCCAGGTACTATCAGTGGAATAGTATTGTCACCGGAAGAGCATAGTACATAGGGACCTGAAGCCAGAGAACATACTCATAGTCAATGATACGACCATCAAAGTAGCAGAGTTGGCCTCAGTACACAATATAACATGAGAAATTGAGCACCTTCTGTGGCTCCCTAGCCATTATGGCCCCAGAGATCATGAAGCTCCAACCCTATTACACCCCAAATACTGACGTATGGAGCCTAGGGGTGGTTCTCTACAAGATGGTAACGAAGAAAGTTCCATTTGTGGGGAAGATATTTGGGCAAATGAGATAAAGATATTGAGTGTACCATCCTTTATGTCTCTAGAATGCCAACAACTTAAAAAAAAAAAGATGAAGGGCCACACATCAGGGCAAGACCCTGCCCCTCCCCTGACACCAACTGTAGTGCTTTCTCAAGCCAAGAAGTTCTGCCATCATGGCATAATTCCACAGACCCTGCCAGTCACCCTGCCAGCCTGGGAGTCAAGGATGCCCACTCCCCAACTGGCCATAGTCAAGCATGCCCATTCCCCCCTGCCAGCCTGGAGTCAAGGATCCCCACTCCCCCAACCATCATGGAGTCAAGCACGCCCACTCCCCCTGCCAGCCTAGAGTCAAATATGCCCACTTCCCCTGCCAGCCTAGAGTCAAATATGTCCACTCCCCCAACCAGCCTGGAGTCAAGCACGCCCACTCCCCCTGGCAGTCTGCAAGTGAGGATGGCCATTCCCCCAGCTCGTCTGGACTCAAGGACCACCTCTTCCCTACCCAGCCTAGAGTCAAGGACTGCCATCCCCAGCCCAACCCTCCAGCATTGCCCTCAGGGGTCCCACACACCCTCAGCAGGAGCAGCTGCAGCAGCAGCGGTGGAGCCCCAGAGGGATCCACCCCTGAAAAGAGCCTCCAAGCTGGGCAGCCTTCTGGTGAGACCCTAGGCTCTTCATCTAATCACAGTCAAGCATGCCCCTCCCCCTGTCAGCCTGCAAGCGAGGATGAGCATTGGGTGGTAGGAGGGTCTTCAGGTTTTTCTTAAAATGCATATGTTGTAGGTCATGCATGTACAAGAAGTGTATCAAAAGGACAAAAGTGAAGCCAACGTAATTTTTTAAATAGCGCACGGCCAAGGCAGGGCCATAGTTAAAGATGCTGGGAAGGTCGAGCAGCACCCCCCAAATTTTAAAAGCTGAACTTGAAGATGCTGAGCTCCAGGGAGGCCAGCCATGTGGTGCGGAAGATGAGCCAGAGGCTGGACACAAACAGCTGCGGCGAGAGCAGTGCCAGAAACGCATGTTCAAGGTGAGAGGACTCGTTGTGGAGAGCAGAGTTAGGATCACTAACTCCAACTTATCATCTGAACACATAGCAGTCGAGGCCAAGGGCCAAGTCCTGGGCTGCCAGCGAAAGGGAGGCAACCCATCCATATATATATAAATAACTGATAATGATGACCAAGATCTTCATGGATGTTGCCCAATATTTTGATTTGGTCTTCGAGGGCTAATCTCAGAGACCACAAGCTAATCTAACAAGTGCGGGCGAAGGGAGACACCTCCACGAGGAAATAAAAGGCAAACTAAGAACGGTGACACTTGCTCTTCGCACTCCTGAGAATGAGCCGTGCTCACAGCTCATGTGTCGGGCTTGGTGACCGTTGATTATTCCTTGGCCTTGCTGCTCGAGCTAGTTCATCGGTCTTCCCTGCAAGACGTGGACCCCTGGACACCGGGGCTTCTGTGACTCCGAGTGACCAGTAACCACTGCTCTGTGAACAGCCCAGGCAGGACATTTGAGACCTAGGATTTTCTGTTCGTTAACCCCCAATACTTGTGTGTGTGTTCTGATGTGTTTGTAATTTGGATTAAACCTGCAAGTAAGAAAAGTGAAGTTAACAGCACAGTCACCTCTGTTGGCTCACTATTGTTACTTGGTGTCAGAAACCTAGAGGGCCAAGTGACCACCTAGGGTCCCGGCCTCAACCAGGCACCCCTGATACTATCTGAGGATCAGGACAGCGAGTGACTTATAGGAGGGACTATACTCACGGCCAGAGTGCTGGTGACAGTTGGTGTAGTTGGCAGTTGAAATTCTAAATTCTAAATCAAGTTAACCTAACATTTTTTTTAAAAGAACTTAAAAGCCTGACAGTTGGTGTAGTCATCACTGGCTTATGACTGGTCTGAAATCTAAATTTAAATGTTCAAAGTAAAAATTTTAGCCTAATTTCAAGAGAAAAAGAAAATCAAATTAACCTAATATTAAAAAAAATTTAAAAGCTAACATGAAGGAACAAAAATGAGCCTGTCAGTTAATGTGCAATTGGCTGGCAAAACAAATATATAATTTGGCAGAAATGAAGGAGAAAAGATTGACTGATAATATTGCTCTTTAAAGATGGGAACCTGAATTAGGTATAGGTAAAGGCTTATATAAGGTTGCAACCGAAATTGCTTGAAAATACTAGCATTACAAAATAAACTAAGAAAGTTCAATTTGAAAAAAAGGCCCAAGACTGTATTATCAGTAGGGGACCCCTAGTTTGAGGCAGAGGTGCAAGTTCATAAGAAACTGCTGGTATAAACATGTGATGATGTATAGACAGACTTCCCCATACCTAGAAATGTAGAACCCCTGGGGAGGAGAGCAAATACACAGGGGAAAAACCCTATCACAGGTGGATGCAGACAGACATAAAGGGAAAAATTTGGCCAGGAGAATTATTCAGAGAGAGAAGTCAGCTGACAGAGTAATAGATGAGGAACAGATGAAGATATAATACAAACAACCCCACACCCTGAGGATCCAGGGGACTGTGATAATCAATTTGATGATGGATATTTTGCTAGACTAGTGGTGACTAAGAAAACTATTAATAATAATCATCCATAGAAGGCAAAGAATATACAAGACAAACAATGAGAGTAGATTTTCAACAAGTAAATTTGGCAAACATTGATTGGCTTGCTAGTGTTTGGGACAAAGGAGCAAATACAAGTCTGCTGACAGGAACAGAAATCAATTGACCATCAAGTTGATAATCCTATCTCTGGAACGATCAGGTAGTTGAACCTTATCTTCTCTTATCATTTAAAGAATAACTACATCTGATGTTTTAAAATTGTCTTATGAGAGATAGCATCAATATTCATAAGTCAGATGGTATTTCAAAATATTTCAAGGATTGATAAATGTACTTTTAAGAATACGTGATTATTCAATACACCTTAGAGAGGATGACAATACCTGCAGCATGTGAATGAGCAGAGATTACATCACACTTCCACCAAAATAACGTCCCACCACCAACAATGAGATGAAATTTCATTTTAATTGAGTCATCAAAGCAAAGCTCCATGGACTATATCATGATTTATTATTATAGAACCTAGGTTACTTCTGATCATTTATTAAGTTTGAAATTTTGGTAGGACAGAAAACCGTGTGGTTGGTATACAGTCTAATCTAATGGAAGCAGACTTGAGTCTGTTGGAATCAATAAAAAAAGAACAGGTGAGATACAGGGCCAAGAAATCAGCAGCTATCTTCACATAAGTATTTTACTTCCACTACTGGGACTCATATACTGAGGAGACCTTTGTCACATATCTAACTGACATTACTGTAGAAATAATATAGGTTCTTCAATTTGTATTTTATTAAATTTAACTATATTGGTTTAACTCATTTCTCACATTTACCACTTTTTTTCATTTAGTGCATATGAGGACACTAAAATTATACTTAATGCTAATTCAAAACTTTCAAAGCTGTTATTTAATGTCCAAGATGGATAATTTATACATTTTTACATAGATAAAATATACAAGAAACATATATATGTTTGATTTTTTGAAGGTGGAATAGAATGGAAATATTGGCTTGGGATCTTGGAAAAGATCTGAGGTGAATGAACTCTTTTGTTCCTTTTTTCCCTTCAACTAAAATACAGAAGACCCTCGTATTGCCTAGCTAATGTTTTACGTGCTGAGGATACAAAGAGATGTACAGCTTCTGCCTTTTCAGGGCTTAGGCTGGTAGGATGAACAACATGAAGTGATAATAACGATATTGCTCCTCTCCTACGTTCTCATGAATCTAAATCTATATTCTCCTTTTCCTGAATCTTTAATGCATCATTCCCTGTGTTCATTACCATTTAAACCTAAGACGCCTCCATTAACGTACACACATGCATACTTACTACATATATCTTTACAAATGTCAACTTATATTTGTTTCTTCCTCTGAGATCTTCTCCGTCCTTACCTTGTCTTCTGAAAGCATTCTTAAACGGTCCTCTTCTTGGCATGTGATATAATGATATTCTGATTTGCCTCCCTGGCTGCCCTATCTTAACCTCTCCTTCACTTCAATGATCACCTTATGTTGAGAACTTCTACAACCATATTGCCAATCCTCATCTCTCACAAAATGTGCTCTTTCCACACAAGGTTGAAATATAAATCAGAGAGAGAGAGAGAGAGAGAGAGAGAGAGAGAGAATGGGAATGAGAGACTTAGAGGGAGAACTGAGTCTAAATTGAGAATAAAATGAGTAATATCACTTTAAAGGTATAGCATTAAAAGGATGAAATTTGTATATATTTATTTGGTAAGAGGAAAGAATTAATTATGTCATAAGTTTGGTAACATTTTGTGTTATGTTTAGTTAGAAGAAATTATATATGTTAACTCCCCCCCCCCCACTCATGCCCTTACCCCCTGGTGTCTGTGTCCATTGGTTAGGCTTATATGCATGCATGCCAGGCCTTTGGTTGATCTCTCCCCCTTACCCCCACCCTCCCCTGCCTTCCCTCTGAGGTTTGATGGTCTGATCAATGCTTCTCTGTCTCTGTATCTGTTTTTGTTCATCAGTTTATGTTGTTCATTATAATCCACAAATGAGTGAGATCATGTGATATTTATCTTTCTCTGACTGACTTATTTTGCTTAGCATAATGCTCTCCAGCTCCCTCCATGCTGTTGCAAATGGTAGGAGTTCCTTCTTTTTTACTGCAGCATAGTATTCCATTG